CGTTAAGCCAGAGATCTAGACTACTCTACAAAGGAAGGGGGAAACTGAGGCAGTAGCTACATTTGCTACTGAAGAGGTAAGCCACTGCTACAGTTATTTACCAGTTTCCTCTTCCTTGGTGTCCTGTAGGACTCATGGTACTAAGTCAGTGATCGGATGGCATTGTTTAAAAAAAATAGTATCATAATACTTTTAAAACTCTAAAACACGTCTAAAATAGTTTTCAGTTAAAACGTGGGACAGACAGAGTACATGAGAGGATGATGTGCTACTGTAAAGGCAATACTAGCACTCATGGTTTTGCCTCTTCCAATTAATGTGGTTAAAATCTAGTTTAGCTCTGACTATACAGGCAAGGGCAAATAGTATTCTCACGTGGTTGGGAGATTTCCATGTTATAATGTTCCCTGAAAGAGAGTCATATTGCCTTTGTAGCTGTCATTCTTATATCAGATTTATATTTCCTTTTGTCATGGCAACACCCCATTCCCTTGCTATTGAAGGCTAATTTCATGTAAATTACCCAGAAGAATTGCCTTGTTTTGTTTCCAATGAAATAGCAACAAAATTCAACCTTGTGTGGGGCATAAGTCATTCAGAACAGGGACTTCAGTGTTGTGATTTCTTAAACTCCCTTAATTGCACATGCCCCCATTCTTCTGGTTTTAATGTGTTTGCTTCACAGAGACAAAGCACACAGTAACTTATCTTACAGCACCAGCCGAATGTACTTCATTTGTGATGTATCTCGCTGTCTTTGTATTCAGATAAGCCTTATTAGTTCTGAGATATCTAGGTTTGTGCAGATGCTTGAAGCAAACTAAATTAATAAAATTCAGGAGAGTGGTTTTCAAATGAATCTTGAAAGCAAATCAGAATAGGAATCAGGCTCACAAATATGCACAGACAATTCTGAAAGGCTACATTACCTTCTGTTGCTGATTCTCAGATGTATATTGTCCTCTATCTTATTACAGAACATATCAGCATTTTGCAGCTCTAGCATTCTATAAACAGAACATTACACGGTTTGAGGATCTTGTTTTTTACAAACAAGGCTATAAGATTCCTTTAGTGTCAGAATGTCACCCAATGTGATGTGCGTATGGTGTTTTTGTTTTGCGTTGGACAGCTGTGGAAGTGCAGATTTTAACTTGACAGAGAAAGAAAATGAAAGCCAATTAGAGAAACTTCTGGAAAAAGGGGCATCTGTGAAGATGCACGTTAAGTGTGTGAGGGGGAGAGATGAATGTACTGAGTCCATACCCAACGCTGAACAGATAATATTAATTTTGTGGGGTTTGGTTGTATCAATTATCTGTTGCCGCCTTAATCTATAAGACCTCTTTCTGAATCTGTCAAAACAGTCGATAAAGGAGAACCAGGTGCTGTATTTATTTGGACTTTCACAAAAGTCTTTGTCAAAGTCTGTCACTCAAATTGTTTAAAAAAAATTGAATAGCCATAGGTTGAGAAACTGGCTAAGCAAAATATAGGAATAAATGGTCAGCTTTCATCATCGAAGGTTAGCACCATGTTACCACAAGGTTTCATGCTACGACTAGTGTTTAACATTATTAATTATATGAAAAAGGAGGCAAAGGCATGAAAATTGCAGAAGACAAAATTATTCCAGTTAGTCAAGATTAAAGAAAACTGAGAGAAACTTAAGAGGCATGTAACAAAGCCAGGTGAATAGGCAACATGATGAATGCTGACAAATGCAAGACAATTATTGGAAGGAATATTTTGTACTACTCATACTGTTTCCTGCAGGGGTGGGCAAACTTTTTGGCCTGAGGGCCACATCGGGGTTCCGAAACTGTATGGAGGGCCGGTAGGGAAGGCTGTGCCTCCCCAAACAGCCTGGCCCCCACCCTCCTATCTGCCCCCTCCCACTTCCCGCCCCCTGACTTCCCCCCTCAGAACTTCTGACCCATTCAACCCCCCCCTGCTCCTTGTCCCCTGACCACCCCCTCCCGGGACTCCCCACCCCTAACTACCCCCCGGGACCCCACCTCCTATCCAACCCTCCCTGCTCCGTGTCCCCTGACTGCCCTGCCCCCATCCACACCCCCACCTCCGACACGCCCCCCGGGACTCCACGCCTATCCAACCCCACCTGTTCCCCGTCCCCTGACTGCCCCCCCCGAACCTCCACCCCATCCAACCGCTCCCTGTCCCCTGACTGCACCCCAGGGCTCCTGCTCCTTATCCAACCCCCCCCGCTCCCCGCCCCCTTACCATGCCACTCAGAGCAGCAGGACTGGCAGCTATGCTGCTGCGCTGCCCGGCAGGAGCTCGCGGCCCCGCCGCCCAGAGCGCTGGCAGCATGGCAAGCTGAGGCTGTGGGCAAAGGGGGGCAGCAGGGGAGGGGCCTGGGGCTGGCTAGCCTCCCGGGCCGGGAGCTCAAGGGCTGGGCAGGATGGTTCTGAAGGCCCTCATAGTTTGTCCACCTCTGGTTTACTGGGTTCTAAACTCACTAACAAAGGAAAAGTCCTGGGTATCATAGGGAACAGCTGAATGAAGACTACTGCTCAACATGGAATGACAGTCAGAAAAGCAAACAGAAGTTTAAGATGCAGAAAGAGCAGGATGAAAAATAAGGTGCTCAATAGGCAAAAGACACACCCCTATGGAGTGTATTTAGGCCACTCAGCACCTCACAGAAAGTGTTCAACATCTGAGTGGTTTGGCCCACAACTTACCAGTCTTTGTCCATGGTTTTTATTATGTATTTTAGGATGCAAAGTTAGACCGCAAGTCTGTATAATGTGTAGCCATAATAGTATTTCTTTTTGCCCTTGTAGAAGTGTAATAGGACATACTTAATCCCTTGCCTATCTAAGTGTACTGGAACCAGTGGTGTCATGCACCAAAATGATCAGAGGGCTTTATGAAATACCAAAAAAAAAGATACAAACCACTCAAAAAATATTTAAAGTAGCATTTTAAGGTCTCTCATAAACCCATGCATGCTGCAGTGTCTATGTACATTGAAGGGGTCACCCTCTACTCTGAATGTCCTGCTTTTTGACAGGCAAGAGAAAAATCTGGACTGAGCCTCATTCACATGCAACTTTCCCTTGCCCCACACAGATGGGGGAGTCAGTTGCATAGGCAGTGGCATTCTAGCCCTGGTGAATTCACAATTGATTTCATAGTTGTGATCCATGCAGATGAAGGGGAGGGGAGTGGCAGACTTGGACCAGGGAGTAGTTGCGGTACGGGTAGGTCCAGAGGGGCCACATCATCCTCTCACCAGCTCTGTGGAAACGATCCAAAAAAGGTAATGCAACCTAAACTTGGATGGCTTTTGTTGCGTCCCGAGAACCTCCCCACTTCGGCCCGTGGAGAGATGCATGCAGCTACACTGCCGGCTCTGTCTGCTGCAGGCGTGGCCTCCTGCAGCTCCCATTGGCTGTGGGAGAGGGACAGAGACACCATCATTAGTTGCCGGGCAGAGTCAGCCATGGAGGCAGCATCACTTTTTTCCACAATGAATATAAACAAGTCAAAATACCGAACACAACTATCTGTTGCACTTCTTGCTGCAATCCTGAAGGTTTCAACTGCTCAGTCACTGAGGTCAAACATCAACAAACTGACAGAACTGAAGCGTTGCCAGGTGTCTGGCAAACACTAAAAACTCTCTGGCAGGCGAAGAATTGTATAAAGTTGTAGGACAGTTTTATTATTTCGAAGAAATTTGAAATAAAACATACAATATAAATGTGTTTTTTTTCTGAACACCATCTTCAGTGACATTATTGGCCCGCTGGGAGGATTTGAGGACTGGCACTGGCCCTAAGGTAAATTGAGTTTGAGACCCCTATTTTATGGGGATGCAACTCACTCAGAGACTTTAAGGCCAGAAGGGACTCTCCTGATCATCTAGTCTGACCTCCTGCACATGGCAGGCCAATGAACCTCACCCACCCACTCCTGTAATAGGTCCATAACCTCTGGCTGAGTTACTGAAGTCCTCAAATCATGGTTCAAAGACTTCAAGTTACAGAGAATCCACCATTTACTCTATTTTAAACCTGCAAATGATCCATGCCTCGTGTTGCAGAGGAAGATGAAAAACCCCAGGGTCTCTGCCAGTCTGGCCTGGGAGAAAATTTCTTCCAATCCCAAATATGGTGATCAGTTAGACTGTGAACATGTTGATGAGACTCACCAGCCAGACACCTGGGAAAGAATTCTCTGTAGTAATTCAGAGCCCTCCCCATCTGGTATCCCATCTGCAGTCGTTGGAGATATTTGCTAATAGCAATCTTCAGGCCCCTCCAAGCTACCTGAGCAAACACCCATGCAAGAAAAGGAAGTGGCTTCATTGTTCTGTTGACTATCCTAAGCTCATCCTTCTATGCAGCATTACTGGTTACAGGCATTAGTAGTTTATGTAATGTTGTGTATTCAGAATTCATCCTACCTTCTGAATATATTAATAATGCCCAGTTAGCTGTGTGTAACTAGATAGCCTAAGCAGACTTGTTACTAAGCCTGTCTTTGCAGATATGTCACTCTGGCTTCTGAAAGATCGGGGACATTTTGGGGCCCTGAAGGAGATGCATTGTTCAAAAATTGGACTGCGTATAATATTTTACTATATGAATCAAAACTCCAATTTCAAAATTCAACTGCATCAAAACTATGGAAAAACAACATTAGCAATCAAGTAAAAAAAATGGGAGCTTCACAGTGAGATGCCAATTGAAATAATTAGCTGAATTTTTACTGTATCTGGTTAATTAAATCCCCATTCAGCAATTGCACTGAAGTATTAGAAAAACAAACTGCATGAAGCCATCTGTCTAATTAAATCATGCTCCTAACTGTGTTTAATTCCAAAGAGGTTTACCATTTATTTAATACACCACCATCCAAAACATGATAAGATTCCAAGTCAGGGTTGTTGTTTTTTTACTTCGTGTCAATTATATCATCTAGTCAAAGCATGGGCAGGTTAATGACTCTTTCTTTCTGCTACACAGAACCTGAAGCGTGTGGCAGAGACATGGATGGATGAGTTTGCAGAGTACGTTTACCAGCGGCGGCCCGAGTACAGGCATCTCTCAACAGGCGATATCTCAGCCCAGAAGGAGCTACGCAAGCACCTTAAGTGCAAGGACTTCAAGTGGTTCATGGCTGCAGTGGCATGGGATGTCCCTAAATATTACCCTCCTGTGGAGCCCCCACCTGCTGCCTGGGGGGAGGTAAGGAATACCCAAGCTAGACTAAATTTAACTGCATGTTCCATCTTTATTGCAAAGCAATTTGGTAGATCACCGAATTTCATATGAAGTTACTGAAACTTTTTACATTATAACAAAGCCCTTATGAAATGAGGTTTGGCTCCTATTACTAGTGGTGTCATTAAGGGAGCTTGTAGTGATTGGAATGATCTATGAAACAGCCACTAAAATAAGAAACTGACATGTCTGATGTCTATGGCTGTTCCCGGTATAATCCCTTATAATCTTCCGTGCACCATGATGTGCATGCACAACAAGGACAGGAGGTTCAGAAAGAACAAATAGTCATTACAGCATATTACAGGATGGCTTTCAGAATCTGATTTTTGACAAGGGAAGCCTGAGGTCAGTGCACATTTTTATATGTGTTATTACAAATTACATGCATAAATTAGGTATTCATTAGGTACCTATCTAGTGTTTTGTCTGGTCAGATTTGCACATGCAAATGTAAATATGCAACAATGAGTGGGGTTCTTTTCCTAAAAAAATTGGCCCATCTTGCCTCATTCTATGTTCTGATAGTTGGCTTTGGTTAGTGGTATCACAGCTGGAGTTTAAACAAAAAGGAAATAAGGAGCCATACTTTAATATTATTATGCCATGCTGGGGTATGTGTTAGCAGGTTGCTGGGGCGCTTCTCAGATGCATTCTGCCTTCAGATTTATTCCTCTTAACATATTGGGGGAGCACACCAATAGCCTACTAATGCACACCTTGTGGCGACAGGTTGCGTTATGTATTAGAAATAAATTAATACACAAGGGCTGTAGAGAAGGAATATAATTTATATGTCTTGTTGGAAAAATTGCACTGGCCTTTTGCATCTTCCACTTTAAAGGAGAGATGCAAAAGATTTTTTTTCTTTTTGATTATGATTTGTAAAGAAGGCTTGACTTTTTAACATATTTTTCTGTCTTTTTTTTTAAGAACTTTGGAAGTATCAGTAATGTCAATTCTAGTCTTCCCTGGTTTTGCTAGAGGACTTCTTGGGGCTCTCAGATTATAAGATTTTACACGTGAATTGAAGGAATGAAAGGGTTTAAATTGGAACAAATGTTTTTGGTGAAATCCCCTAAACCTCCAGGGGTCCCCATTATGCCAGGATATTCTCCAGGAGGGGAGATCTAGCCACTTTTTGGTCCCTTTCTCTTAAGAACATTTTAAAATAAACCAATTTTTTTACATATTGTAGCAGGATTTTTAAAATAACCTCTCAGATTACAGTCACTTGGGCCTTTGCACTCTTATTTTAGCCCCCAACTACAGTACCTCAAAGTACTTGATGGTGCCAGTGCCTTGACATATGCAAACTCCTGACACTGTGAATTCCCTCATTTTCGTTTCATAAACTTCATTTGAACTGGTTATACCCAGAGGCAATAGAAAATTAATAGAAGAAGTCAGGAAAGACCAAAGTTCAGTAACTCCTCCATGTCCCTCCATCAAAACCCACACTCAGACACATCTCTGCAGCTGCAGGACTTTGAACATGTGATATATACCTACCTTGCTCTATTGTACAATCCTCACTCAATGCTCCAGAGAGGCAAAAAGGACCATATCCAGACCTGTGAGATTCAGATATTCATGCTTTACACAATTAATACACATTTTACATGATGCACTGTCTGGAGTGGCTCACGGCTGTGCGTGCCAAGCTCAGGGCAGACTGTCAAAAAGCAGGGCAGACACCCCAAACTGGTGGTATGTTCTATCATTAGATTTCGCCAACCCAGTAATTAATGTCAACTCCTGAATCATTATAGCAGTCTTACCATGGAGTTACAGACAGACCCCTTGGGCTCACTAGTCTATTTTGCCACCCAGGTAAGCTGGATTTAGTAATAAATGGTCACTTACATGAAAAATCATAAAATATTCTGGTTGCTCCCAGTCCCAGGAGACCAGTCACTTACCCCAGGTCTTGGACCTTGAATCTCACAGCAAAGACCATGCTGGTAGCCAATTCTAAACTAACTAAGGATTTATTAACTAGGAAAAATAAATGAGAATTATTTATAGTTTACAGCAAGCAAATAAGTTTCAGTCTACATTTCAAAAGGTGACAGTTATAGTAATCTGTAAATTCTAAATGTCTTTCAGGGCTAACTCTTGCCAGGCAGCATGGGGATCTCTTTGCTTATGTTTAGGAATCTTTGCCCCTCAGAGTTCAGACAGCATGGAAGAAAGATTCAGTTTCTCCTGTCAGGGATTTTTATCCTCTCTGGTCCAGAGTCCAAAGTTATGGGCTGAGTTATGCATCCATCTCTCCTTCCCGGAAGGAGTTAGGAATGCAATCAACAAATTCTCTGTCCTTTGATGCTACACAATACGTCATTTGCCTTCAGTAGGCCATGGACAAACACTTTACCTTAATCAATGCTTTTTTTCCTGTTTGGTGAGTTAAAAAATTACAGAGGTTTATAGTGCAAACACTCAGTATAACTTTATACCATGGGCTGTAGGGATTATAAGTGAGATAAATATTTGCAGCAGTCTACCAGCATTTCATAAAATCTGAACACATCTTTATCAACTTAACATCTAATATCTATTTTGATAATACTAACACCCTGTAAGCAAGACTGGTTTCCTGCTATGCATTTGTGAGTATTCAGTGAGGGCCTTGGCATGAGCTGGCACCTGGTCTGATATGATATTAAGGTGTTTTTAAAATGAATCATGGGGACTGTGTATCTTTTTTCCTATTAAAAATACCCCCAGACACCACAGAATGGAACTGAGACCCAAAGGCTCTCCCATTCCCCTAAAAATATGTTCCATCCGTAAACTAACCTTAGCTGAAGTTTTTTTCCTGCTACTCTATATTTTTTTGAGACTTTCCCATTCCTGGAAAGTTTTAATTAATTTGTCAGCACTTGCAGAGACTTTGAACAAACTTAAAGGCCAATGGCTGTTATAATTAGAAATTGAAGGAAGGAAAACAGATTGCTCCTTATTACTTTAGAAGAATCGAGCAGCCAGAAAAACTTCACTGGCTATGCATATCAAGAATCTTTTATGGGACATCTGTGCCAAGCTGGACTGTCATTCACTGCCTTCTCCACTTGTACTTGGAAAGGATTTACATCTGCTTCCCTGTGCCAGTCTGAGACAAGGTAAACAATGAAGTCCTCAGACAATCTGTGGCTCCAGCATCTTAATACCTAACTAGTGAATGATGTGTGCAGCCTTCTTTTCGCAACTTCTCCCTTCTTTTTGCAAACACACCTGCTGGGAATTTGACTGGTAAATGTCTTGGCAAACTCTATTCATGATAGAAAAGAAGTAAATTAAACAAACTCCTTTTCACCCTTGATGTTGCCTGATCTTTGGGAATTAATTGTGCCACTGTCCTATGTAGCTGTCCTATGTAGCTGGAAGAGTGTATGTGCTCCATCTGGTACTGTGCTCTGAAATGCATGCAAAATGGCAGTTGTATAATAGATGTGGGAGAGACTTAGTATATACTGAGTATATTACTATTAGTTTTGTATCTATACAGGAGGGTAACACTATTTTTACTGCTACCATGGGAAAAATGCAAATTAAAACAGCTTAGTTTGATCCTTCTGATTATGTCCTGGATTGCCAAGTATGTGCTACCAGTTGAAGGGTATGTCTACTATCCATTAAATGATGCATAAACACTCCTTTCTGTTCAAAGAAATGTAATTTCATGCAGTGCTGGTACTTGAAGTCTTGTCCAGTGAAGTAAAAAATGGTACTGGGGTGGATGAGATTTGTCATGAGAATGATTTAATAGTTTTAAAACTTAGATTCAAAGTACTTATGGTCCAATGTGTATTTACAATCATTTCAAACTTTTACCATTGTCTGTGGGAACGTGTTTTTTAAAAGACGAAACATAAAATGGTGACCATGAGTAAATTGGTTCTGGACTTTGTGTCCTGCTTCCAAGATCCTACAGGAAAATCATCCCTTTTCCTGATCCAAAACTTAAATGTTAAGGTTTGGCTCTGTTCTGCTATAGGCCTTGTTCAATATTCAGTAAGTCTGTCTGGCATTGCGCTCATGCTAAGTCATGGGGCCTGAACCCACTCCTCTCTGGCCCCCAATGAGAATTCACGGATTTCATAGAACCACTTTACAACAGTGATGGGAAATCCCAGAACTGAAACACTGAAATTAAACCAAATAGCCTATATGAAAAAGCATCAAAGTTTTAGGACTGAGTAACTCTCTTCTTTCTGAAAGAGAAACAGATGTCTTTTTAGAAGTGTCCGCTTCATATCCTTAATGACTTTGAGTCAATCTCAGTCCATCAGTTTGTCATATTTATGTTGTACAAAAGCAATATAACATTCACCCAGCCCCATATTGCATATGCACACTTTCTGCACCACTCAAATTCTCTCATCAAGGTTAGTGTCAACCTGTGATCGACAGTCCCCTGCTTTCTCTATGTTTCATTCAGGCTGTGCTTGACTTCTTTTAACCTGGCCTTTTCCTTTTTTTATGTTTCACTACAAAGAACAGGACCTTTTAAGTTACTGCATATCAGTTAATATGAAAGGAGGCTCATTGCTTGGCATTCAGTCTGTAGATTCTGATGTCTGAAAGACTATCTAAGGACATATTGTGTAGTAAATAATAATAGTATTGTGTAGTAAATAATAAATCTAAGGACTAATAAGTGTAGTAAAGCCAGTGTAAGTACTGCTTACTTAAAAGGCAGAGGGTGAACAGAGAGAGGCATTCCCATTTTTGCACCCAAGTGAATGCTGCTCATGTTCTCTCTAGGAGATACAGCCACTATGGTATTCAGGGCACTAAACCACATTGTGTGAAAAGCATTCTGTAAATTGGTAGCAATTGGAAGCCTCTTATGATGCTGTATTGAATTGCCGTGACCCTGACAACAGAGTCGGGGCATCATCTTTGCTATTCAAGGGCAATACATCATTTGGACAGATTATTAAACTGAACAGTAGTTC